AATGGTCTTCAACATTGACAGACTCTACACACAACCAACTCTACAAAATGCACTGGAAGTTGACCTGCACTTCCAGAAAACAATTAACTGAAAGCGATTCCTTTAGGCTCTTCCCAATTCAAATAAATATCACAGCCTTTAATAACTGGGAGAAAAGAACTTCGACTACCGTTCTTACAAAACAAGGGTAAATAAAATGCATTTCTGGTTATTTAATCACTGCAATAACAAAAAAAATAGGGAAAGCCAATTGTTTGCCTGGTATTCATTTAAAATATTATATTTAGAAGAAGATAAAATACAACAGTGCTTGGGAGAGGAAACAATCTGACTAAAGCTCAAGCAGAGGTACACAATATACATCACCCAATACAGTAATAGAGCAATATAAATGTCATTGTTTGTTTAATTAAACAGAAGAAGAAACATATGCCAATTAAAAAAAAAAAAACAACAGTATCAACTGTTATTGTCACTCATCCATAGGCAGCATCAGTCCTGCCACCTAAACAAAATCCTCATCCTTACTACTGGTACTGGTGCCCCTGCTCAAGAACTCCAAAAATGACTTTTTACATCGCTATATGGATATCATAGATGTTTTTGCATTGAAATTGTTTGTGTTAGAAGTGTTTTGCCCTCAAAGCACAATGTTTGTCCACATTTCATTTCCACTTCGAAATCACAGATCAGCTCCTTCCAGCTCAGGAAGGAAAGCAAGCTGTTGTTGCTGTTCTGTTCTAGCACTGTGGGGCAAAGTGCCAGGCTGTCCCACGGCCAATAGACTGACCACAAATCTTTATCCTTTCTTTTTCACTTTTCCTCCAATAAAAATTAATATAACAACCAATTAAGGCACATGGAAGAGAATGCACTGTCCAGGATTATGTCTGAGACCGTAGTTATGTTTTAAAATTCATGTCACTGTCAGTAGTAAAGGAAATAACTTACAGTATTTTGCCAGCTCTTCCAGTCAATCAGGACTTAAAATTTGTATACTATTGTTATTAAACTTATTAAATTAGACTGGTGTAATTACAAACTGATTGAGTAACGACATTCAAAACTAAAGACTAGAAATAACAGTAAAAGAACTCTGAAATTCAGGGAGCTATTTGATGGACTCCATCAGCCAAGTAAAGTTTGGAATGAAGATTTGGAAAGGAAGACACCTAAAGGACAGAACATTCCAACACTGGCATCTCTAGTCTCAAGTAACTAAAAAACAGGATGATTTGCTACAGTTATAAAGAAACTTAAGAAATATGACCTTTTATCAAGGGGAAAAAACCAAACAGTTTTGAGAGAAAAAAGAATTTATTATTTTGATCCCCATCAAGTATTCTTGCCATTCCATGCACCTGCTGTACTGCTCACTTATTTCATTTAGTCTCAGTCCAAGGCATGGTCTACGGAGTTGGAAGAACTGGATATATCAAAAGTAAACCAAATTCTACAGAAAAATATTAGGCTCTTACCCACCTTACACCCTTAGACTCTGCAAAACAAAGACTAGTGAAACACAGCATAAGTGAAATTAGTAAAATCCAACCTGTTTTATATACTCCACGTTGTAGCATTACATATCGTACCCATGCTTTAAAGAGTAAAGAATTTTGTTAACTAAAACCTTGTACTATGAATGAGAAAACAGTATTTTCTTCCATTAAATCATTTCAAAGAACAGCCACCTTCCCACTCCAACCAGCCAACTTCATTGCTGTTTAAAAAATAAACCAAAAACTCTTAGATGACTTAAAGTCTACAGCAAAATCTGAAGGCGTTTAAGTGTTTCAGGATGGGATTTATGGCAGAGTTCTGAAATGGATACTCCTAGTTCCTGTTGCTTTTACTGGAATATTTTTATGGAGAGTCACTTTTTTCCCACCCTACCCTTTTCCTTTACTGAATTTCCACACAATAACTTAGATCTGACCATCACCGGACATCTGAACAACAATAAAAAAAGTTACAGCTGGATCCTGTATTAGTCCCAGCTGCACAGGATCTTTGGCTGCCTTCAGAAAACAAGAGAGCCAATAGCAAAACAGTAGAACTTCTTTTAGCAGCTTACCTTTGAATAAATTGTTTTTCCTTATGCTACTACAACAAACTATTTTACTGCTCAATGCAACCTGATGTTACTCTTCCTATTTTTCACCTCTTTTCAAAAAAAAAAAAAAAAATTTAAAAACTTCCTTCTTCGAAAACCTTTACTACAAAATGCCAGAAAATAATCATCTCCATATGCTCTTTCAAGTCTAACATACCACAATGGATAGATCTGCCAAGTCCACCCACCCACAGGCTCCATAAACTTGAGAGTATTATTTGTATTTAATTTGGATTACCAATTTCACCAACCTTTCCCCTTCATAACACATGGGGTTTTATTCAGGCTTACTACACAGGTAGAAGACACAAAAGCAAAATAAATAAGTTTCCAGTAAAATAAGAACAATAACACATACCCTCTATAATTTGAATATCAGTGAATTCACAGCGGAAGGACTTCTACTAGTCTTCTTTTTATGTTTGCTCTTATAAAATATCACCTAATCTTTTAGAACATTCATGTGATACTATGTCATTTATTGGTACAAGACCAAGACTAAACATTGCAGTCTTTCCAACTTACATTGCACAAAATGAGAGTGAAGAAAGTTACATGTATTCTGATTTTTTTTTAAAAATCACTGGGTGGGGGAAGCTTCCTCTCAGACACTTGAAATAAGAAAGTTACTATATTTAATGCACAAAAATCCACTTCCTATAGCCAAAAAAATAATCAACTCCATATGCTCTATTTATCTGTCCTTGCTAAAACATGTACAGCAAACTGAAATGTCACCAGCTGCCCACAAAGGTTGACCTCACATAATACACACAAGACAGGCTTAGAACCCAGCCTGAGATTCCCAGCTTACAGAATTAACCAGCAACACCTACACAAATAAACCAGTCCCATACCTGAAACCTTTTAATCTCTCCCTTCTGTGACTGTAAATGTTTTCATAGACACAACAGCCACTTCCCTAAACTCTGACTAACCTTGGCGACCAGTTTCAACTTCCACTGAGGAAATAAGTTTCCACACAAACTGCAATTCAGGAATAGCAGCACAAATGATAAGAGATGGTGGGAAAACGAGCACAGACATTCTCCTTGTCCCCAGATGAATGCTGGATGCTGCTTTAAAATGCTGGAACTACATGATATGATAATTTTAATAACTAAAACTGTACAGTAGGTCAAGACTGACTTGCAGAAGAGCAAGTTAAATCATAATAAAGTTCTATAAAATAAAACAGTTACTTCTGAGTCTATAAACACATACTTCCATAATATGGACTACCCATTTAGGTATTTACATGACAGATACTACATGCAAAATGAGTTTTCCCCTGTTAGTATATACTGGGGTCACAAAATACAAGACTAAACCAAGGATTACTTCAGCCTGATAGAGGTTCTTGAAGGTGTACTCCTGAAATATTAAGGGCTTGTTTTGGGTGGGTCCAAGCAGAACCCTTTCAGTTAAAAGAAAATAAAAAAATAAATTAAAAAATAGATCCAAAAATAAGAAAAATGTAAAGGGAGAACCACAAAACAATACAGAGATGCACATTCACCTACCCCACGCAATGAATTCCAGAGATCAATTCATAGATCTGTTATAATGGACCATCAGTGCACACAGCAGCTCCTGAGTGGGCAACTGGAACCAGTGGAGCACTGGACATGTACAAGAGAGGGGTCAGGCCCTTCTGGTCTTCTCAAGAAAGACTGAGAATGGTCCTAAACAGGACCAAGCCCCTGCCCTGTATACATTAGGAGCTCAATGGTCAGAGAATGCATTTAACTTGCAAAGTTCCTCCCAAGGAAAGGAGTTCCTCCTTGACAGAGCCACAATCTCTTCGTACAACCACTTTGGTTTAACCTCAGCTTCCTGCGAAAACTTTCCTCTACATCCCCCCGCTGACCAGTTGCAAGACACTGAGATAAAAACATGCAGCAGCTTTACAAATTCAAAAATTGCATTTGCAAGTGGTCAGAGCTGTAGCTGGAGTACCCAGCCTGGTGGGAAAATTCCTCCTTGGTGCAACAGAATGACGGGGCAGGAAGTTCATTAGTCCAAACTTCCATGAGTAAGAAACAAACAAAAAAAAAAATTCGGAATCTGACTCCTGAATACAAGAAATACTGCTTCAAGCAATCATAATTCCTTATTTTATAATAGCCAATGCAACTACAAATGTCCCTTTTGACAATTCCCCCTCTCTTGCAGTAAGGCAACGGGATCTGTTTATGTCAGAATTTGACCCTCCAGACAACACTGCTTGTGAGCTAAACAAGGACCTTATTAAGGAACATAATATCTACAGTACATGAAAGCAAAAATGTAACAGCAAATAAGACTCCTGAATAATTGGAATTCAACAAAAAACCAGCATGAACGGTATTCTCCAGTATAAATCAGATATTAAAAACAAAAATTTAAAAAAGTCTCCATTCTAGAAGTTAATTAATTAATACACGGAGTATTAATGAGGCAGTTGTATAAAAACGTAGAGGTGACTCATTAAGTGATTACAACTCACAGTTCCCTTAGAGAAAACAGCATGAGACAGTTCCCTTACTTCAATATGCTAATTTTTCAGTCTTTTTTTGTGCACACGTGTGAGAACAAGAGTGAGCACAAGAAAGATTGGACACATTCTTTTCCTACCCATCAACTCCTTCTGCCAACGTGCGCCTTGTGCAGCGCTCGATTTCAATCTCATTTGACTGAGGAGTAAATATTCCTACAAGCTGTGTGAGAACTGGGAGCTGGATAGAAGAGCCACTAAAATGAATTCCCACGTTTATCATTAGCCTCTTCCATACCCCAAGAGTCAGCAGACTTGTGTTTCATCCTTTTCACACAGCTTTTTTGTTTTGTTAAGAAATTCAACGTATTTTGTCTAAAAATCAGCACTGGTTTCTCCTTTTGTGTTAAGGACCTGGATCTGCAAAGAACAGCAGCAGCTCCTCAAAATCCAACTGAGCCCTTGGACAAGACAGCAAAAGCCAGACCTGAATTCAGATTCGCAAATGGACTGATCTTCGATTCTCACTGAAGAGTTTTCTTGTGGAATTCAGAAGAGTTATTAGTAGAATCAGCACTCTGTCCTCATTGGGATAATTTCCTTTGGACTGCTAAATAACAGTATCAGCTTCAGTTCTTCCATACACTTGGCATAAGGTAACTACTTCATTTTAGAATAAACAGCTGAAAATGAGGCTAATTAGTAAAACCACGCTAAGAAGCCCAACCTGTTGAAAAATTAGATCAAAGATCTTCAGTACTCCAAATCCTAGATGAGATCCTGATTTAGATTTCACAAGTTTCCAGCACGCAACACTTCCTGTTAACTCCATGAGATCCTACAGAATTTTCAAACACTTTCTTCCCAGGAAATACTACATAATGTTTGCCTTTCAACACCTCAACTTTCACTGGAAACCCACTGATACCTGTGTATAAGCAAATAGCAGAACTTGAATGAAATTGTGGAAGCAGCTACACACCACTTTATTTTCCTTAAATAAAACTTTATATTACCAAATAATGTGCTTAAAGAACCTCAGAAAGTAATGAAATAAATGTGACACAGATGTTCACCAAAAAAAAAAAAGGAGAGAGAGAACAAGAATGTTTTTACTTCATAGCAACCAAATAGGTCAAGCCATTTCCTTCTTCAGGCAAATCTCAAAGGACCACAAAACACATGGTTTTCTAGTGGATTTTGTGTGTCTATCCCACTAAAAGGAAATAGTGCTGTCCAAAAGATTTGCAATACTAAGTTTTCCCATGAAATTGTTGAAATTAAAAGAAGGAAGTCATATGCAATTTAAAACAATTTGATAGATGTTAAAGTTATACAAATGGCATAAATAAATAGACTTTTACTACCTAATTCATACACCTTTCCTGTACAACATATTGCTTTAAAAGAATGCCCAGTGAAGAAGTCACAAATGCCAACATTATGTCTGTTCCCACCATTTCTCTTTTGCTTCTGTAGAACTTGAGTAAAACATGACGTGTTCTTCACTTCCCTGGCATCCCTGTCTCACAGTTCTGTATGTTGACAGGTTTTCCTAATAAACCAGCTGCTAAGGACTTATTTTTATCCTCTGTGAATGAAGCACATGGTCATTATATCCAAACTCTTCACTGAAATCGGTGCAATCCTTTCATATGTGCTTAGGTATTACAGGGAGACAAAGTGAAGAAGACATCATTAACTATCATTTTACTTTAAAAAGGAAGAAAAAAAGATCTATACAGATCCATTCAATCATCACAAAACACTAACCCACAGGCTGGGTAGGCCCATGCAGAAGTCTACAGAAAATGTCACACATCTTCGCACAGAAAATCCCACAACCAGATTAAACCTGTTTGTGCATTTAAACAGGAAAATTACTATTGCATAGGAGAACATAACTTATTTCACACCTTTGAGACAAAAAAGCATTTCAATACTTTTGCATTGCCCTTTTGCTGCCAGATTTATTACAACTTCTCTACAGACTATTTTTTAAGAAACAATAAATTACGAAGTCTCGCTGTTTACTTGTCAATAACCACTCGGGATTGTCAGCGTGTGCCCACAGACATCAAAGAGAGCAAGTGGGTGGAAACAACATTAAGAGCTCTGTTTTAGACTCATTAAGCTTAAGATGACAATTATGCAATCTTAAGATGTGAAACAAGCCAACATTTTAGCTGGGACAGATGGCACTGGATCCAGAGCACAGAGTATTTGCTGTGACTCATCCTTTTAAATACGATAGTTCCATTTTTATTTGCAAAATTTGATTTTCCAGAAACAAGATGCAGAAAGGAAGAGAGTGTCCTGCAAATCTTCACAAAACAAAGTTGGAAGTAGAAACATCATCTTCCGAGTGAAAAAGCGAATAACAAGATGTGAGGGGGAGGAGAGAACATACAAAGAAGCCAAAAAAAAGCAAGATTTCAAAAAGAAAAGTATAGTAAACAGTACTAGTGGCTGCTGGCAGGACAAAGAGGAGGAAGGGAATGTACCGAGTACAAGGGGTCAGGACAAGTGTGGAGAGGACCTGGGGTGAACCTGGAGGAGATACTCTTCAGACACTGCCTGCAAACAGCTCATTCAACGCCTTTCAACAGGAAAAGAGATGCAGAGGTAGTTTAAATTTTGGTCTAGGGGACAAAGACAGCATGTAAGAAGAATCAGACTAAAGCCTGTTTGTATTGGGAAGGGAAAAGAAGGGAGCAAAAGACAGCAGCAGGTGAGACAAAGCTACAGTTTAAGTAAAACACTTGAAAGCTTTTAAAACCTTTTTGTTACACGAGGAAAGCAGAGACTTATCAGACAAAAAGATGGCAAGCACAATCATAGAATCAGAGAAAGGTTTGGGTTGGAAGGGATCTAAGAGCTCATCTCGTTCCAACCCCCTGCCATGGGCAGGGACACCTTCCACTAGACCAGGTTGCTCCAAGCCCCGTCCAACCTGGCCTCGAACGCTCCCAGCGATGGGACATCCACAGCTTCTCTGGAAAATCTGGGCCAGTGTCTCACCACCCTCATAGTGAAGAATGCCTTCCTAAAAGCTAATCTAAAATACCCTCTTTCAGTTTAACGTCGTTACCCCTTGTCCTAACACTACACACCCTTGTAAAAAGAAGAAACTGGAGGAAAGCCAAGGTTTTTTTCATTTCTCCTTGAAAAATTGTTCAAAATCCTTTAAAAAAAAGAAGGGGAAGCAATAAATACGATGAGATTGAGAAATTTCATGTGAGCTGTAGATTATATCTTGAAAAACAGTATGTTGCCTCACCTTGTGCAGCCCTTCCACTGGTGAAAGCTCTTACAGCTCCAGTGATATTAAAAGATTGCAATATCCATTTGGTAACAGTGGCCCATGGGGAACCCACTTTCACGAGGCTTTTACTACAATTCCCAGACATTGTTCTGCAAAATACACTCTGTTCCTGTAAGTAAATCCTACAGCTTTCTTTCCCAGCTGTACCAATACAGACAGATGCTGTTACGGGTACACTGCTCCCCTAAATCCACGGTGTGCTTACATTGCTGAGCATGTTACCAAATACCATTATATAACAATCCATCGAGTTTGGCAACCAAAGACTTCTGGAAATTCTATCTGCAAAAATTTCATGTTTTCTTCCAAGTCAGAGCTAAAAATATCAAACATTAGGCTGAGAAAAACTTAATGTGTTACTGCAATTAACAAGCGATTTTCTGATACCACCAAAAATAACTAATATTTACGGCATAATTATTAATATTTTATTATGACACTTTTTACTGCAGTGGTAACAGATTAAATGGTTTGGGGCTAAAAATGAGGAGCCTACTGACCTGACAGGGAAGCCATACAAATATGAGATTAGTTTAGCATGAAGAAATATTTACTTAGCAAAAAGAGACTTAGCATGAAGCTCTGCTAGCTGGTAAAAGTCTATTTATGTCATTTAGTTTTCTGTGTTCCATCTCTGTATCTGTTCTTCTTCTTTCCCTAGAACCAAGTCAAGTGGTTACTTTAACACTCAGGTGCATTTTTATATTCTTGGCATTTCCCTACAGTGCTATTTAAAACAGCAAGCCCTCCTCTAAAGGACTTTTGGGACAACTTTTATTTAAAACTACTGGTACAAGTTATCCACTTTGATGGGTAGGGATTGAAACATATTTAACGTTCTTTGTGTTAAAACACATTTGTTTATAATAAAAGAAACTCATAAAAGAAGAAAACATGGAGAATTAGTCTTAAATGCAAAGCAAATGTCTATAACCATGAGGAGGCCACGTGGCCTCTGCTATCTTTAATGTCTACCTTTGGAAGATATTACAATGTGAAAAGATGAGGTTGTTCATGTCAAAAATATAAATTGATTACATATATGTATTTAAAGACATTTCTTCTAAGAAAAATCTGGGGTGTTTGTTACATTTAACAACTTTTACCTATAAATAGGTAATCTTTGCCCTGCAGCAGAACAGAAGTGACCCTGCTAAATCTGGTTTGGCAGCAAACCTGCTCTCCTGAGTCCTCTGTGAGACGATCTGGTCTCTCTGTCTCGTGAACGGGTGTCTACATTCTGTCCACACAACTGACCCAACGTGTTACCTGGCACCAGCACTGGCAAGAACAGCCAGCAACCAACAGAGCTTGGCAACTGAACTGCTCTGTCCCAGAAAAGCTTCAACATTCAGAAACAAAGCACAGAGTTTGGGGAACGGAGGGAAACCTCAATGCCCTAATTAGTGCTGTAATTTGGTCTATTTGTCAAGTAGAAGCAGGATTTTAACCTTCTGGCATGTCTGTTTAGAGCCCTTTGTAGAGGCAGCTTAAAACAAACATACAGAAGTTGGTAAGTACCCAATCCCGCAGTCTTTTCCAAGAGGAATGGCACGGGATTGAATCTGGGGGACAAGAAAGCTGCTGCATGACTAGAATCAAATTCAGAAAACAAACAGAAGTACTATCCTGGGCCTCCAGCACTGTTTATACATTTTGACCTTCCCCAGGCTGCCAACAGCACTATTGAACGCGAGGATCGCGGGTCACTGGTACCACCACCACCACCTCACTGTGAGCCCGCAAGAAAAGCCTCGGTCAAATCACACATGATGTGGTTTTAAAGCAAGTGAGGAGGGGGAGGAGGAGAAATTTCCTGGATTAAGTGAACCACAGAGATATTTTAATCAGAACACAAAAGAAAGTTGAGCCAAACACCAACTGACTCGGATCATATCACATCAATAATCCATGCACAGAGCCTCTGCTGGAATCAATGGGAGTCTTGTGCGTAAGTGGATTGTATAATATAAATACACGGCCCTGTTTAGGGCTCCACATACAAAAGAGAAAGAGGAGTTGAGAACAATTCCCTTAATTAACATTTCTGTTCCACCAAGTGCTTCTAAAATAATAAATTCTAACGTTACACAGCTCTGTTTTCATTCACAGCTTTTATCAGAGGTGGTAAAACAACTGACCCCATTTGACAAATGAAGCATCGGATGCAAATTAAACTGAAGAGGAGGGCAACAGGCAGAGCTGAACTGGGAATAGCAGCTTACCTCCTGAATCACAGTTTAATGTCCTAGATATTTACATGCTTATCTAGTTCGAGTCTCTAATTAGGGTGACTCTGTGCAGTCCTCAAATAATTTTACATACTTCCTAAAGTACCTGTACACAGCAATATGCTTATCTCTAAGCGTTTCCCACTCAACAATGTTAATTTTGTGAGGATTTAGAATGTTCTGCTGAGGTTCAAAACATTGGATTGCCCTGGTCAGACTCCCAAGGGAGTCTCATTGCTCAGGTATCACAAGCCTCACTACCCAGCAGTAATAAAGGGCTGTCAAATCCCCACTCTCCCACACTATTATTAAAGAAAGGGAAAAAAAAAGGAAAAAAAACCCCAAACAAAATAACTTGCAATTCAAAATAGTAATGCATTAGCTGGAAATGACCTAACTAATCCTGATGTTCCAAACTGACAGCAATCCATAAGGAAAAGCAAGACTGGATCTCTATTCAAAAACAAGCGCAACACTCACAAGAATTCAGTGTAAAATGTCAAATACACCACTTGCAAAAAAAATTTCCAGTCTCACTAGTCTGAAACTGTTTTACAGTGAAGCCAAGTAAGCATGAACATAAACTATACTGTAATTTGACCCAAAAAAGCAACATGTTTATTAAAGTGGTATGAAGTTATAAATAATAGTTTCACTTGCATGCTAGGTACAAATCTGACTTCACTTCTAGAACCAGCCTTCAGCTAAATACAGACTGACTCCTCCCGAGGTCCTGAGTATTCTTCCTCCTCTAAAAATCCAACTCTGAAAAGCCTAACACCTTATGAAAGATTGATTCAGCAATGTGTCCACTTTCTAATTTACATCTTGCACGTGATTAAGTACTGTACCACACAGGGTTAGTGCCAGTAACAAGCATTTTCGTTTTCCTTAACTACAGATGCAAGTCCATAATCCTGAGAAAATAACATATTTTGAGTTAAATGAGCTTTCTGCTCTTTACAATTACAGTGTTCAAGTGCTTTGAACAATAACTTTTCAGGACTGGCTTGTTTTGTCTTCTCCTTTCCTTTTTCAGAGTTTTTTTCAAGATTTAAGTCTACCACTGACAAAACAAGCAGAAATGCCTGCTGAGAAATGGCCACACTTCCAAACGACGGCTTGAAGAATTATTTTTCTGATTCACCATAGCATTATTTTTTCAAGTTGTCAAAACAAACACCACACCCACTTGATTTCCGAGTTCTGGGTAATTATATTTGGAATTAGCAAGTACCGTGCAACTAATAATCATATGAGGTTTAGCCCTTACTTTAGCTATTTAGAGATCAGCCAATGCATTCAAAGGCAGCCTGTTTAGCATTTTATTTAAGATTTACCCTCATCACTTCATGCTGTACCACCACTGCACAGAGAGCCACAGACACAGTGAATATAGGGCAGGCCATGCAGTCGATCCCTCTGCCCCAGGGCAGGATCAGCTCCTGCTCAGCCACCATTATCGCTGATGATACACAAGAACTGGTTATTTCAGGCAGCAGCTTTACACACGCACTCACAGAACCCATTATAAATTAAAGGAGGGAAGCGTGTGGCACGTCTGCAGCGCCTTAAACTGGGACAGCGCGCAAGCCGGTCTCCAATAAGATAAAAATTACAAATAAAAGCTTCCCCAACGTGCGAGTCCGGATTTTCTAAAAGTAGTATCTTGGCAAGGTTAACGCCGCTGCCGCTGGAAACAGTTCACCTCGTTTAAACTGGCTGAACCACCCCGTGATTATCACCGAGCCTCCATTAAGATGACACACACACAAACAGAACCCTCGCAGGGCTTAATTACTCTTTTCGCTGCTCGTACACTGCCAGACACGTACTTTTGTTTTTTCGTATTTCCCCCCTTCCCCTCTCCCAGCGGACGGGCAGCTGCAGGCAAAGGGCGCGGGGCTGTCAGGGCACTGCCGGGGGCGGCGGGCAGGGCAGGGCAGGGCAGGGCAGCGGGTCCCGGACCCGCCGCGCCCCCGCCGGGTGCGGGGCACAGAGCCCCCATTGTGGCCCGGCCGATGTAGCGGCTCCGCTCAGGGGGCGCCGGGCAGGACGGGGCAGCCCCGGCGGGAGGGGCCGCGGCCGCAGCCGCTGTCAGGGGCTCCGGGAGCGGGACACCTTCCTGTGCCGCCCGGCGAGGGAGCCGCGAACCGCCCGCAAGAGCCCCGCACTCACCGCCGCCGCCTCCGCCGCCCTCTTCGTCCATGTTGGGACCGCGGGCAGGGCGCTCCGCCGCCGATCAGCGAGGCCCGGGGCTCGTTCCGCTCGCTCGGCGCCTCGCGGCCACTCCCGCTCCTCTTCCTCCTCCTCTTTCTCTTCCTCTTTCTCCTTCGCTTTCTTTTTCTCCTCCTTCTCCTCCTCCTCCGCCGCGCTCCGCCGCCGCGCTGCTCTGCCCCGTCCCTCCCCGCCCAGCCCTGCCTCAGTCCCGGCCGCCGCCGCCTCGGCCCAGCCGCCCGCCCCTCTCATGTGACGGCAGAGGGCGGAGGGGGAGCCGGCCCGGCCCAGCCCCGCCACCACCTCCCCCGCGCCACCGCAGGGTCGCGGCCACCGCGGAGCTGTGTTACCCCCCCCAGCGCCCCGGCCCAGCCTCCCGCCCGCCTCCCTGTGCGGTGTTCCCTCCCCGGCGAGCTCCGCAGCGCGGCCTGGCAGCGTCCAGGGCCCTGAAGCGGCTTCCCCGTGGGCTGTTGGGGGTCGCCCGGGCGGTCGGGAGCGGGGGGACCCGGGGCTGTGGGGCTGCCGTTGGGGACCCGTTGGGGTCGTGTCCATTGGGGTCGTGTTTTGGGGTCTACGGGAGCCAGAAAATACCTGCAGACACCCCACTGGCTTTTTGGGGGAGAGCGGGAGGTGAGTGGAAGGTGAGGGCTGAGTTGGCCTGAAGGAGCATAGTGAGGGGAGACAAGGTGAGTTGAAGTCTCTGAAAAAGAGCCTCACGCATCTCCTGTTTTTGGGGTTTTATTGCTGATTGTTGCTTGTTCCCTGTTCTTGGGTCCCGTGCTGGAGGGACCTTGGGTGCTTCCCCTGCCACAGGGGCCATGGAGAGCCTTGCACGTCAATGGGACTGTGCCCCATATGCGGGTCAGGGGTTTGCCTTGGTGAGCATTGTGGATAACAGAAAGGACTCTCCCTACTGCCCTAGGAGCCAAAGTGTCTGTGGGATATTTAAAGTCTTCAGTGAGTTACCTACCATGGGAGTCAGCATATCAGCAGCCTCCAAAGTCTGTAAAGGTAAGCAAAAGTGTACTGGCACAGACACTCTTCCTTCCTTCCTTCCTTCCTTCCTTCCTTCCTTGGCACCGCCTCTTATTATTTTTTTTAAACAGTTCGTGTCAAAATTTTATTCAGAAAGGAAGCTATGGGAGGAAGGGGTCAGCCAACAGGAAAATATCAGGTTTTTCATTTTCCTTTTGGAGGCTGGCATGGGACGGAGCACCGCCGAGGAAGCCGTGTCAGGAACACTCACCTCTTGACACCACTGCTAATAGGTGGTTATTACAGCCCATTGTGCTGAGAGCGGAGGCCTGGCTCTGACAGCTGCTCCAGTGATAAAGTGTTCTACCTCACCTAAAAATCGTAAGCGTCACAAACCTTTTAAGTACTCCTCTGACTTTCCTATTTTAAATTAAATATTGTTATAAGTTCAGTAAGTCATAAAAAGGTTATGATTACATAAAACCAGCATCACCTTGGTAAGAGATTTATTATTAAATGTGTGTCTATAAAGTGCAACTACAGGATGATGTAAAATAAGTGCGAATGCAGATGAACTGACAGTGGGCTTTGAATATTTTTGTACACTGAGGAAATTGTTAAATTACATTAGTGGGGAATCTGGTTTATGAAAAAAATTATAATTTTATAATTGATCACAGATTGCTTGCATTTAATTTGTGTTGGTTTACACCTTTATATAGAATCTATTCCTTTATTTTCTTGTTTCTGTTTGTCAGTGTCATTTTTTCCGTCCTTTCTTCCTTCCTTCTTTTCTCTTTCCCTTCCTCCCTCCCTTCCTTCCTCCTTATACTTTTGCTACAAGGAAAATTCTAGTGCAAAATAAAAAATAACTTCATCACTAATTCTAGTAGCAGAGGAGAGGGAGGTGTGGAGAACAGTCATCCTCCCACTTATTCAGTGCACAGTTCCTGTTGACTTCATGGAAGCAATACTAGTTTTAAAATTCTCCAAATTCATAGCAAAGATTAAAATTGTTTTGTGATGCAAGCAAGATAGGAAAAATGTCTATCCTGGTTATGAGTGATCAGTTGTGATGTTTTATAGAAACTTCATGGTGAAATCCAATTCCGGATCATGTCTGCCAATTCCAAACCCATGAGATAAGGAAAATGTTCTTTATTATAACTTCATTATTAACTTGAACAAACAGTTAAATTTTTAGTATTTTGCCTTACTGAATATGTACTTACTCTGTTGTAACTCTGAAATATCTGTCATTCAATACCCTCTCAAGGAGAATCTGTTCTTTCCAGCCCCATTTTAGTAGAATGACGTATTAATGATACATAGTACAAAAGAGTGTTGAAATTATAGTGTTCTCTTCGAGGCTGTATGTCTCTGAAATGATGGCAGATATTCCTTAAAACATTTTCATTCATATTGTGTATCTTATAAATAGACTTACTTTTGCATGGGCCTGATCCTACAAGTGGTTTAAGCGTAAAACTCTTAGTTCTGTGTACAAGGTGCTTCCTGGACAAAGCTGTTCAATCTTCAAGTGAGATGTCATAGAAACTTTTAAGATCAGACCTCTTACCTTGTTGTCTCATTTTCTTGTGTTTAAAGTAAAACTCATGTCTGGCTATAAACCTAACTAGGTCAGGAACAGATTTTTTGAAACTGTGCAAAATCAAGTAATTACAGCCCTAGTTCTACGTCGTAGCTGTAGCAGTTCTACCATAGCAGAACTCCTCCTCCCTAGTGCTTGGTAGTTCAACAGTTACGACACCACTATCCTTAAATAAGAGTTAGTTTCTTACCAGCAAAGATGCCAGGAAGCAATGCAGGTTACAACTTCAGCAAATTTTAAGACAAACTCCAATAAACTATTTCCTTCTCATGTGAGTAATTCTCTTGCATCTGTTTTGTTTTCTGGAACTCTGATCATTCTTCTGTTTTGGAATACATATGAATTTTAATTTTCCCCCCATAATTAATAAGAGTTTCAATCAACAGTTTTCTAAAGATTGCTTGGTCTCTTTTTTTTCTTTCTTGCAGTCCCTTCTGTAGTCATAGCTCTATTTTTACCACCAGTATGTTTTGCCAGTTTTATATCCACAAGTCTAACCTTCTGTGTTGGAAGAACTTCACAGTCTGTCACTCATGTAAATAATAGTCTAATAGCTGGTCTGTTGAAATTATTTTTAGGGGGAAATTGGGCTTTCTCCAAAAACTGCTGTTGGCAGGGTTGAGTCCTTAATGATAAATGTGGTTACTTGCTGAATTTGCAGGTGATACACTTTGTCTTTTTATATTTTTTTTGTCCCTCTCTGGATAGTTTAGTAACTGTTTTGATTTAGTTTCCACTAAGTGGTAATTTATCTTGTCATTTTTCATTTTAAGGGTTCAGGAGCACATCTGTTGTGACATTTGTCCCTACACAGAGAGTCAGTGAAGACAACTGAATCCCTTACATCACATTTTTGTGGTCTATAAGGCTCATTAAATATTAAGCCATTTCTATGGATTTCAATTTGAACCAGACTCCAAGAGTAGTGAATGAAAATATAAATCTTTATCCGTTCTTTTTTTTTTCTTTTTTTTCCCCCATAATCAATTCAAGAGCAGGAAAGCTCTGTTGCTTATTACTCCCTCTCCTCAGCAACAGTGGATTCCCTTTTTTCTCCATTGCTTTTTATTGGTTAATGTAAATTCGGAAAAAAAATCTTCATTCTTCACCTTCAGTTTACTTGTAGAAAGAAATAAACTTAATGTTACTGTGGCAAATTTCCTCTTTCAATAAGGTAAATGTTTCAATGATATAAAATTCCATCTTATTTTGATAGATTTCATAAGCTTTTTATTTCTAATCAAAAGCACGAGCTATGAGGATGCTCATACCTGGATAGTAGCATTGTATTCAAATACAAGAAATACAATTCTGAATTTTCTTAATGCAGAAAGAAATAAAGTAACTGCTGTTGTGTCATCAGACTGGACATCAGTATCAGACACAGGGAGGTGGAATCATGTTCTTACTACTAGAAGGAAGACTCTTGGAAATCTTTTTTAGGGAGGTGGTCATCCTGCATGCAGGTATTCCCATTCCATGTGTTCAGGCAAGACAGCACTAATTTGCAAGTCTGGCTTATTGTGACTTCTCTTAGACTTGGTGAGAAGGATTTTATAGCTGCCCTTAAGAAGAACAGTTAATAAAAGTATGGACATCCGTGCAGTCTTAGTAATACATTCTTGAAGAATATAGATCTATCTTAAAGGATATAGATATATCTCAAAGAATATAGATACATCTTAAAGAATACAGCTGTTGTGCAATGTTATGTAATCTAGAATTATTTGGTTTGTTTTACAACTTGCTCACTGAGATGCTCCCACATTTTTAGAAAAATGGTGCAAGCATTACATTCCTGAGACAATACCTTGTTGATAGAATCACTGTCATCAATACCCAGCCATTGTATTAAAGAATACTTTTGTTTCAAATCTAGACAACCAAAGAGTTTTTATTTTTTAAGAAGCATTGCCTAATAGTTTCCATGCAGGAAAGTCTCAGCCCATCATCATGTCTTTTTTTTCCCTATTTTTTTTTTTTATTTATCAGTACTTGAATAATCTGGTATTCTTAAACCCCTAAGGCAAACTCTTTGACTTCCTCTGTCTGGCAGACGGGTTTAACCATGGATTGTTTCTTAAAATGTTTATGCTGTCACACATCTCATATTTGTCTCAGCTGGAAAAACATTTTTATAGAAAATCCTGTTTGCTGGTTGTCTCAAGGGTTTCAAAAGTGCTTGTACCTTTCATTTAGTCCAAAAAAAATTTATATGCAGATATTTTATATGGCTTTGGGAAACATCAAAGCTGAAGCTTAGCAAGTGAAGCCTCTTTTATGAATGGTGCTTTCTTGTATGGATAGGAAGCTTGTTCCATTAGAATAGTCCAGAACCCTAAACATAAAGACACCTCACTTCCAAGAATTTTGCATGGGTTTCTCTCCAGATGAACTTTTTAATCATATTCTGAATTTTATTTGCAGCTTATTTTAAATTCCTGTTCTTGACACATTTGAGGGTTTGTGGGTTTTTGGTGGTTTTTTTTAAGATTTCTAAATGAGCTTTATCTACTCCCAGCATCAAATATTACTGGGTTTGGAAGTCAGTGCTTGTTTCTATTGTGTAACTCTGATAGGGCCACTAGTGAGTCATTGAGGGAAAAACCACCAAAATGTGCCAATGAGGAAAATGTATTAAAAATTGTGAAGGTCCATCAACTCTACAATGCTTATGATCTGAAATATACTTTGCATTAGAACTTGTTCTGCCTGTATTAATTATGCACAGTACTAGACACAAACAGGATGCTTTCTAGCATGAAAGCTGGGCCTAAAATAACAGAAAAAGAGGACTAGGATTCAAGGAGCGTGGGCTGAAACACATCATGAGTGGAATTTTGCATGAAGCTTGAGAGCATTTTTCTATCTCAGGAAAATGAAAGAACTTGATGTAAAGCAACTCTCAAAGGAGAGTGTGCTGATTAAGGCCAGACCGTTCCCACCCTGAGAAGTAGCCATAGTCTGAATTCCCCTCTGCTGGCTCACTCCATCTTGGACTCTCTAGTCTCACCAAGGCCTGGGAATTTGAAATTCCTGACTCATCCTGCAGTGGGAGCTGGAGCTGGGCTGCAAACCATACAGGCGCTGCATGCACGGGGCAGCAGTTGATGGATGGAGGGTCCCCACAGTCCCTTCCTCCTCCCTGCCCGAAGAAGCCCTAAATAACTCCCAGTGTGCCAGGGCTGGCACCCCCTGGCACACAGGGGCAGCCAGGTGACAACTGTACTTGCTCACGAGGTGCAGTGTTGGAAGGGTTACCCCAGGTGCTCCTGTGGATTCACCAGTGAGCATCTGCAGTGCAATTGCATATCTCCACATGAGCTGGCTCAGATCTTCCTGCTGGCTAGTCAGCAGAGCACAAAGCTGGGCTTAATAAATATGGATCCATCAATTTAGACAGGAGCAGGAACTGGCAACTAATGATTTGGACTTTCAGTGGCCTCTGAGCTGTTTGTGCAGCTGTTTGTGAAGCCACGCTGTAAATCAGATCACTCAATCCAGATTTTTAAAGTTCTGTCTAATCTAATAATTTTTAACCAGAATTACTCCATTGATTAAATTCACACTCTGGTCCCACAAACAGTTGCATTGGCACAATTGCAGCACTGGTAGACTGTGACACACAGATGGTATGGAAAGAAGGAAGGGAGGCTGCTGGATAGTTATTTTGTCCATGGGGACAATATTCCTGCATAATTCTGACGCTGTTCTGAACCACAGACTCTCCATCAATTTCCCTTTCTGATCCCTTCTCCAACTGTGCCTGTAGTCAGACTGAAATGCTTGTTAATGTCTCATCTGTGCAATACCAGATCATCTAATGGTAATAAATTGATCACGATCAAATAAGAGCATGTCACTGCATTCCTGTCAGGATTAGCCAGCTATGAGTCACAGTGTTTAGACCAGGCTTTATCCTGGCTTTATATTGGCAGCAGGAAGACCAACTCTGATGTAAAACCATCATGAGTAGAAACACTCTATGCTCCCTGTTTCATGAGGGTTTTGTTTTTTAAATCATTTTTTACTGGGGGGTTGAACTGGTACGCAGGATTTCATGCCATGTCACCATCCAAAAACTAAATTTATTGCATGATGAAATTGCAGTTGAGAGTATTCAGCTTCCCTCAT